CGAGGAAGATAGTTTCTGAGATATTGTACAGGGTTATTATGTTATGAGCAAATGCTGTTGAGTTTTTCTTTAGATGGGGGATGTGCATGAAATTTTAGAGAAAGCTTGCTTGTGTTTAGTGATGAGTTTGTTGTCTTGAAACCATTTTACTAGTGCTTGCAAAGTTTTGTGAGTTTCTTTTTCTAATGTTAGTTTGTTTTTGCTTTTGCTTTGATTATGTTTGTGTCATCTGCAAACAAAATTTTGTTATTCATTAAAGCCAGTGACACGTCATTTATGTTAGTAAGGAATAGCATTGCCCCAAGGATGGATTCCACAATTTATCATCTGAGAGCAGTAGTAGCATGAGTAGATTCTGTTTTCTTTAGTGTGCTGTAGGGCAACTATTTGGCTGCTACGGTTTGATAAATTTGATGAGCCTGCAATGTCTGGCATCCTTAGCATTTCTGGTTTTGTTAGAAGTATGTGATGGGCAATAATGTCAAGGGCTTTTGACAAATCAAAGAAAAGGCAAATGAGAATTTCCTTCTGATTTAGTGCCACAAGCATGTCATTTAAAAAGGAGAAGATGGCTGTATCTCTGGATCTATTGCTCCTGAAGCCATGTTGTGTATTTTTTAGGATATTATTGCATTGAGAAACTGTTTGAATTTCGTTGAAAAGCCTTTACAGAATGTTAGAAGATCCTGATAATAGGGAGATAGGTCTGTAGTTCATTGGATCATAACTATTGCCCTTTTGAAACATTAGTTTAATTTTTGCTATTTTGAATATATCTGGGAACATGCCTGTTTTTAGAGAGTACTCGCAGATATGAGAGAGTGGTTGCACTATACATGGAGCATTGTGTTTGATATGAAAATCTGGAATGTTGTGCAGGCCTGTTGAGAATTTATTCTCCATTTGTCCAATGATTTGAAGGGGAATCTCTCAACACTTTCTAAACAATAAAACACACCATGCAAACACTACTGTTACACAAATTGTAAATTCCATATTTTTATATGACCCGGGGGGGTGTTTGCGTGGTGTGTTTTATTGTTTAGAAAGTGTTGAGAGATTAACTTTTTACTAATTTGTGAAAAGTATTCATCGAATATATCAGCTTCGAATGTATCTTCTTGTGAGTCTTGTACAGTTTGGTTTTTGTAGTAAAGCTCTACATTTTTTCTGTTATTATTAGTTGGTGGGACAATATTTTTTATGTCCCACATAGCTTTTGTTTTATTATGCGCATTTGCAATGTACTTATCATTTGTCATTACTTTTGCTTCTTTGATTACTTTTTTAGGATCAAATTATATGTTTTTAAATATGAAATGTAGTTTGAGTTACATTTGTTATTAGTTAGTATTATATACATGTTGCATTTTCTTTCACATGGCAATTTTATGCTGTGGTAATTCGCAATTTAGTTTTCTTATTTAGGATCTTCTTGATTTTTTGAGGAAAAATGGCATTGAAATGACATAAGTATATATTTATGAATGAATTAAACTTACCATGTGTATCAGTTACCTTATATACTTCATTCCAGTTTTTGAATTTGAGTAAGTTTTGAAATTTTGTAATGTTTCCGTGAGATTAGTTTCAGATTTTTTTTGAAGTTGACTGTCTGTGATTTTTGTTTCTGTTTGAAGTGTTAGAACCTGGGCAGTGTGGACTGAAACCTGTACTAAACGTAGCAACAGAAAAACAATTTTCATTTAGGGTTGTGTGAGGCAATTTATGTTTAAGACACCTCAAAGAATAATTTTATACTGCCTGCATTTTTGAAGTTTTTTAGAATAACTTCCAGAATTTGTAACATGAATCTGTATCTTGTAATATGATTTTCAAATTCCCAGTAGGGTTGCAATATCTGCATAAGACCCATGTTTTTATTGTGAGTCATTGATGGTTATTTCAAAGTATTTCTCTTTTATAATATGTGACTGGTGTGGGGTACAAAACTAATAGCATCTTTAATAAAAATGCATCTCCCATCATATACATGATGTCATTGTTAATATATTGACATAAGCTGCTGGCTAGAGAGAAACCGGAAATATGTGTTTTCTAATTGTTCTTTAGTCGGCCAGTGTTCTGTAAAGCACAATATTGAAATGTGGTTGAGTTTCTTCTCAAGTAATATTTCTATATCAGTGATTTTATTTGACAGTGACTACATTTTGGTGGAGAATGTGAAAATAGTTTTTATTTTTGTGTGTGTTGTCTGCTTTTTGCATAATGCTTTGTCCGGAAAATAATTTATTGATCCATTGATCATGGGACAAGTCATTTAGTTAAAACGTGCAAGTCAACTTTCCAATGACAATTGTTCAACAATACACACATGCACATACAATTTGTACAAAGTGTAGATATGAGAACAACAAAAACTACAATCATACATAGTATTGAATACAAATCTCAGCAGGTTAAGTGAGCCATTTGCTGTTCATCACTATTCAAATTATTGAACACATTTTTCTAAATTTTAATTTGTTTTAAAAGGGATATAATTCTGTGTACAGTATTTCAAGGTATTTTCTAGGTACAGTATTTCAGTAGATTCAATTGTGTTATGATGTGAAATTATTTTGTTTATTATGAATGCTTTTTTCAGAAACGTGAGGAAGGATGGTGGGTTGTGATTGGTGATCCCAAAACTAATTCTCTTTTATCTATTAAGAGGTTGACATTGCAACAAAAAGCTAAAGTAAAATTAGATTTTGTTGCTCCAAGTCCAGGTAAGAAAGTGTCATTGTCACTGTCATGTTCTTAATACTGCTATATTTTAGTATTTTATTTTATTTCCTCCCTTTTGCAGGGCTCCATACATACACATTGTATTTTATGAGCGATGCTTACCTTGGATGTGATCAAGAATACAAATTTACTGTACATGTTGGAGATTTTGAGTCTGGCAACAGTGATAGTGACTCAGGCAGTGATTAATTTTATTTCATTGATTACTTTTATCTTCAGCACCTAATTGTATATATTTCAGACTCATTCCACTTTTCATTCATGATTTGTGTGGTTTATTTTATGTTAGGAAATAGAATTAAATAAACATGTTTGTATATAAAAGTTGCAATGTTTTATATAGAGCAAAATGTAGAACAATATGCAATTGGTCTTAGCGCCTGTCATTTCTTCACACCTTGTTCAGAAGAATTCCAATGTTGCTGATAAAAATTCAATTACAGTGTTTCAGTCTCAAATACTAGATTTAAGTATCGTATTGCTCCTGAAAAAAGTGTAGATTTTTTGACAGAAAAACTTGTTGTGGGGGACCTTGATATTGAAAAAGTGGTTTTGAGTAATTAGTCTGTCAATTTGTGAAGAAACACTAAACTAAATCATACACTATTTTCACCAAAATATTTTTTCCTATTCAATTTGGCTGTTGTTGCAGTCTCTCAAATTTGAAAAAGATAATCTAATTCAAAAGGGAAATAAGTCCTTGCTCCATAGTTCTAAGAAAGAAAGAAAAAAAATAATAATAATAACATCCACAATCAGCTCTGAGGCTTCCACAAAAGATGTAGAACTAGTCATTATTGATCGCTTGGGCTACTCTGTAACTTCAATTTTGCATTTCTGTGATGTGCAGAACCGTTTTTGTACCTTGGACTTTACTTTGTACTTTAGAAAAAAAATTAAAAAAAAAAAAAAAAATTATTTTTGGACTTGTGAAACAATGTAATCAAAGAAACTATATGTGAATTAACATATGCTATATGGACATGAAAGATACTCTTCCTAAATTGATAATAGCATCTATTAATCATCAATTTCCACTTGTCTGTAGATATATAAAAACTTTCTGGTACTAGTGGAGGTATTCATGTGGAATGCATTTTTTGAACATCGGCTATTTTCTTTCCATTGATGAGAACAGTTGCGGCACTAGCTTTCATGAAAGGCAAATCTGAACTTGCTTTCCCTTTTCCATACTTGATAAACCCATCAATATACAGTCGACTTCAATTATAGTGAATTTAATTCACTGGACCTGTTTCACTTACATTGACATACAATTTCAAAGAGTTTGTGAGAGGATAGTTGCCGTGATGTGATGTGAGACGCCGTTGATACGGCGGACGTGTCGTAAACAGGCCAGTACGCTCCTTTCGGTTGGGGGAAGAGAGAGAGAGAGAGTCTGTGTGTGTTTGTCTTTTTTTTTACGTGGGCAGGGGAAAATCTAAAGACCCAGCGGGCCCCGCAACCCGCAGCGTGTGGGATTCCTAGCTAGCCTATGCCTACCCACT